CTGAGTTGACAGCTGGGGACACTGAGGGGACAGGAATCCCTGGTCTGATTTCTTTCCAGGGACCTTCTCCAAACCCTCCATCTGGGCTGAACCAGGGCCCACCATCCATGAGGGGACACGTGTGACCATCTGGTGTCAGGGATCTCAGAAGACTGGTGACTACGGACTGTATAAAGGAGGGTCATTCATTAGGACTATGACCCGGAGTAATCCAAGGGACATAAGAGGTCACGTCATCATCCTCTCAGCCTATGCACACAATGCTGGGCGGTACCAGTGTGCACATCTCAGCTCTAGTGGCCGCTCAGAGCTGAGTGACCCCCTGACCCTCACCGTGACAGGTGAGAGTGAGGAGTCATGACCTCCCTCCAGTGTGGGCTCCTCCTCACAGGAAATAGGAACCCAATGGGTATCCGGGCAGGGACCCTCATACCTCCAAGGGGACACCTGTGAGGTGACACTGGTGCCTGTATCCTCCCTAAACTCAGCCCCCTCTTTCTCTCAGGAGTGTACGCAGATGCACAAACCTCCCTCTCAGCCCGTCCAAGCTCCGTGGTGACCACAGGAGGACATGTATCTCTCTGGTGTAGATCACAGAACACAGTGGACACACTCTATCTGCTGAAGGAGGGAGGAGCTGACCCTCCCCGACAAATGAACCCTAAGCGGTCTTCAGGCTTCTATGAAGCCATCTTTCCTCTGGGCCCCGTGAACAGCTCCCACGGAGGCACCTACAGATGCTACGGTTCCTATGTCTCATATTCCATCCGACGCTGGTCACATCCCAGTGACCCCCTGGATCTCGAAGTCACAGGTGAGGGATCCCCGACCAATGTCCTCTTTCCAGGGGCCAAAAAATGTCAGATCCAAGCCTCAGGGGAGCCCCGTGGGTCCGAGGTGATTGATGACAGTGGCCTGCAGGGGTGGATTCACACAGGACAGTGTGATGACCAGGGAGGACTCAGTGAAGCCTCTTCAGTCAGTGTGAAGGTGGGAGCCACCTTTGATGCCCCGTCTCCTTCTTCTCAGGGATCTACGTCAAGCCCTCCCTGTGGACCCAGCCAGGCTTTCCGGTGCTGTCTGGGGACCGTCTGACCCTGATGTGTGGCTCCGAGACTGGATTTCACCGCTTTGTTCTGACCAAGGACGAACAGTCTCCTTCACTCATTCCGTACTTTCACAGAAGTCAGCAGAGTCCCAACTTCACCTACTATTATGTGAGCAGGGACAATGCAGGCCAGTACAGGTGCTACTACAGTGGACATGACCACTATCTGTGGTCAGCGCCCAGTGACCCGCTGGACATCCTGGTGGCAGGTGTGGAGGCCCCCATCCAGATGGCCTACTCAGCTTGGGGTCCAGGTTCCCCCTCATAAAGAAAGGTGTAGGGGACAAGGTCCTACAGCAGAGCTGAGAAGAGGGGTTATGAGAATGGGGGAGGGAGAGGGCTGGAAATATGGGAATACTGAATACTGAGAGGTAAATAAGGGACAGGGGGTCCCTGGGGAGCAGACCTGCAGAGGGGACAAGGTGTGAGGAGAGGATGGCTCCTTAAACCCCCAATCCTTCTGCCATCACAGGATATTATGGGAAGCCGACGCTGTCAGCCCATCCGGGCCCCACAGTGACCTCAGGAGAGAATGTGACCTTACAGTGTCATTCAGAAAATTGGTTTAACATTTTCCATCTGTTCAAGGAGGGCCACGCGGGGCCTCTCCAGAGTCGTCACGTGCAGAACAGAGCTGGGTCCCTCCAGGTCAACTTCACCCTGAGCCCTGTGACCGCAGCCCACGCAGGGACCTACAAGTGCTACAGGTCACACAGCACCTCTTCCTACCTGCTGTCAAGCCCCAGTGACCCTCTGGAGCTGGTGGTCTCAGGTGAGGAACCCTGGCCAGGCCCCCCGTGTCTTCATGGTCAGTTGAGAGCCTTCTGGGGGTTCCTCCTGGGAGGACTCCAGGCTGGAGTGGAGGCAGGAAGTCTGAGATGTCACCCCAAGGAGCTCCACCTCTAGGGGACCTCAGAGGGTTGGTGCAAAAGACAGGACAAGACCCACTCCAGTCTTATCTTCAATCCTCGTTCCTGAGGCAAAAACTGCATCCTCGTGGTGGACGGCAGCTGGGGAGGGTCAAAAGTGGCCCAGAAGGTCCCCTGCCCTCCATCGTCACTGAACCTCCCATCTCTGTAGCCTCTCACGAAGAGGCCGAGACCAGAGTGGGTGCGTGGCAGAGGCCTCGCTCCCTGGGGTCCACACTCGGGCCTCTCAGCGGATGGACTTAATCCTTCACGCTCTCAGGCCTGGATGGAAGGATCAGAGCAGTGACCTCAGGCTCCGTGAGGTGCTGGTGTGGGGGCCTGACGAGAAGTGGGGTGGTCTACGCAGAAGGAGGCGTGAGGCCCAGCCTGGGGCAGGAGCGGTGGGCTGAAGCCCCTCACCATGTCTGTTCTGCAGGAAGCACTGAGGACCACACAGACCTGAGATCAGAACCGCTGACAGGTAGGAGAGAGGGTCCTGTCAGGGAGGGGAAGTTGGAGCTGCTGGGGGTTGTAAGATTTAACCACTCTTGACATAGTGACCTTAGAAAAGGCCACTCCTTCTCCTTTCTGGCCCAGTGTGCTGTCGGGGTGGGGGTAGGGGATGCACACAGGGACCAGAGAGTCGGAGGACAGCTATGACACCGTGTGGGAGGGACGACAGTGGGAGGGCAGCCGTGTTCCTCTTCTATCGAGGTGAGCTCAGCCCTGAGAGAAGCAGCATTAGCAGGAGGGAAAGAACAGGACTCGAGGGGAGCTCTGGTGGCCTAGTGGCAGGAAGCTGCACTGCAATCCCAGAGGTGCGCGGTTCGAATCCACCAGATGCTCTGCTGGAGAAGGAGGGACAATCTCCTCCTGGGCAGCTCTAGCACATCCTGCTGTGGGGCCCTTGGCAGGTCCAATTTCCTCTCTGAGGCTCACTTCACTCCTCTTAGAACACACTCCCACCTCTATTCGGGGCTGCTGGGAGAAACCGAGGAGGTCCCACAGTGAGAGTCCTGGACATGGGCCTGTATGGACATTGTGCTCAGGACCAGGCAGAGCCCACCCTCCAACCCCACTGTCCCCCCACAGACACAGTCCCTGTGCACAGATGTTCCCTGCGGGGCGGTGTCAGAGCTCAGCAGAGCAGGGGACACAGCAGGGCTGGGCTGCTCAATGAGTGAGGACTCAGGTTTGATGGAGGCGTCTCTGTCCCAAGTCTCCGTCTCCGTATTTACCAAGAGGAAGGAAGGAAGGCAGAAGGATTGAGAGAAAGAAAAAAAGCACAAGAGAACCGAAAGACTCTGATCCCAGTGTTGCCATTTACGAGCTGGATGACAAGAGGCATGTGCTTCTGTCCATGTCAGTGTGTCCTGGCTATCTGTGCCATCACGTCAGGGCAGACTCCTGGCTGACCCACTGGTGGGCTTTCAGAGGCTGTAAATCTCAAGGGAGGAGACCACCCATAAATCTCCCTCAGAGCAGATGATGGATTCGATCCACCTACCCTTGGCTTGACAGCGTATCTCCTTACCATTAGGCTACTAGAACTCTCTCTCAGTTATCTAGGGCTCCTGACACAGAGATATCACACATGGATGGCTCTAGCAAAGAGAATTTCAACTCTTACAGAAGAACAGGTTGAAAATCCCGTTACAGGGTCCCAGCTTTGAGGGGACACCCTCTCCCTCTGTCTGTTCTGGAGAGAAATCCCCATTTCCTTCAGCATCTGTAAACCAGGCATTCATTGGATCTCCGCGTCTAGCAGCTTTCTCAAAGGCCCAGGTCTGGAAGGGCACGCTTCTGAGTGTGTGCTGTCGAATCAGATCCGCCTGGTACAGGAGGTGATGGCTCCTCCTTCTCCAACAGAGCATCTGGTGGATTCTAACTGCTCCTCTTCGGGACTGTGGTGCAGCTTCGCCTGGCAATTCTTTCCCAGGGTCTCTCTGGTGCTGCCTTCTCTGATGGCCTGCATCCCCTTTTTTAAAAATTTTTTATTTTAGGGGAGCTCTGGTGGCCTAGTGGCAAGGAGCTGCAACTACAATCCCAGAGGCGCACGGTTCGAATCCACCAGATGCTCTGCCGGGTAAGGAGGGACAATCTCCTCCTGTACCAGTCCGATCTGATTTGACGGTACACGCACACAAAAATAATAAAAATTTTAAAAAAAATTTATTTTATTACTTTTTGTGCGTGTACCATCAAATTGGATCTGACTGGCACAGGAGATTACCCCTCCTTCTCCAGCACAGCATCTGGTGGATTTGAACCAAGCACCTCCAGGAATACAGTGCAGCTTCTTGCCCCTAGGCCATCAGAGCTCCCTTGGCCTGCATCCTCTTTTCATCTCCGCTGAGGTAGAAGGCCGTACAGGTTAACACCACCGTGGAGAAACTTCTCTTACCTTGATCAGGGCTGTGATATGATTTGGGAATGTCATACTCCTTTCGTTTGTGTTTTTTTTTTTTTATGTGTGTACCGTCAAATTGGATCTGACTGGCACAGGAGGCGATTGTTCCTCCTTCTTCAGCAGAGCATCTGCTGGATTTGAACCGCGCACCTCTGGGATTGCAGTGCAGTTCACACTCCTTTCTCAATCCTCCCACAGTTACGTGGTTTATCACATCACGGGGGACCTTTCCGTAGCTCCCACACTGTTTCATGACATACGTGTATTCTGGGTGCACGCGAGTCCATCTATGACAGTTTTTTCACCTGTAACACAGCTGAGAAGGAAGCCGGCAGTGTCGTGCAGCATAGCCATGGGTGGGATGGAGGTGATGGGTGCAGAGGTCCCAGCACGTGCTGGTGTGCAACAGGCGTGGAGCAAGAGGGCAACACTGACTCGTCCGTGCCCTCGCTTGTGTCCAAGGTCTTCCATGGTACCTCAAAGTGATGATCGGGGTCTCTGTGGCCTTTATCCTGCTGGCTTTTCTCCTGGTCCTCCTCTTCCTGTTCATCCGACACCAACGCCAGAGAAAATGCAGTAAGTGACATGAGCATGGGTCGTGACAATGTGGCCACACGAGGTGATGGGTTCCCTGTGGGCAGACTAGGCGTCCGCTCAGGGCAACAGCCAAGAGTCAAAAGACATGAGCTATGCCTACCTTAGAAACACTCCTTGACGTTCAGAATTAGAAAGCCAAGACAGAAGAGACGTAAAGGAATCCCAGATATTTTTACAATATCAAATTCTGGTCTACATTTTTCAAGCAACACAGTATCAAAAGACAGACTCTACTCTGTAGGGTAAGCTCTGCTTCTCTGACAGGACATCATGGGAGCTTTCAAAGTCAGGTTTTCAAGAGCAAGTAGGTGCAGGCTCTCCAGGCCTTCTCTAGCCCTGACAGGTTTGGGAGGTCTGGATTCTTTAGAAATTTGAAGATCTTCCACATTCTCTTCCTTTTACTTGAATGTCTCTGTTGTTTGTGACTCCTTTCCATCTCTTCCGTTTTCATTTTCTGCTTATGACCATGGAGGAGTGTTTCTAAGGTGCCCTTAGCCCACATTTTTTGGCTCCCCAGCTGTTGCCCTGAGTGGACCCTAACATCGAGAAGAATGGCAATCGCAGAACACCTGATTGTACTCATGCGAAACCTAGACCAAGAAGCTGCTGTCCGAACAGAGTAAGGAAACACTGTGTGGTTCAAAATCAAGAAAGAAAAGCATCAGGGATGTATCTTGCCTCTGTATCTCTTCAATCTATACTCAGAACACATCATTTGGGAGGTTGGACTTCATGAAGAGGAATATGGCATCAGGATTGGAGGAAGACTCATCAACAACCTGCATTCTACAGATAACACAGCCTTGCTTGCTGAAACTGAGGAGGACCTGAAGTGCTTGCCGCAGAAGGTCAAGGACTGTAGTCTTCACTATGGACTGAAGCTCAAGCAGCACCATGATGGATGGAGAAAGGATCAAGGTTGATAACAGTTCCAGCTTGTTCGTCTCACAATCAGCACTCCTGGCACTGGTGCTGTCAGGTGCTGTTGAGTCAAGTATGATGCATAGTGACCCTATGGACAAAAGATCTGAACCCAGTCCTCTCCTGTGCCATCCTCATACTCCCTGACACACCTGAGCCCATTGCAGCAGTCACCGTGTCAGCCCACCTGGTGGAGGCTCTTCCTCTCCTTTGCCAACCCTCCACCTTTCCTCGTATCAAGGAATAGCCCCTCCCAGCAACATGCCCAAAGGATGTGAGGTGAAGTCTTGTCATTCTTGCCTCCAAAGAGCACTCCAGATGCACCCTCTCCAAGACATATCTATTCATTCTCTTGGCCGTTCATGGGGTGTTCAGGACTCTTTTGCAACACCACAGCTCAAAGGCATCAACTTTTACTGTCATTCTTATTCAGTGCCCAGCTCTCCGATGCATAGCAAGTGATCAAAATGGCCAAGGCCTGAATCAGACACACCTTAGCACTACCAGTTTTGGCATTAGCAATCAGGAAATCAAAAGACAACACATGGGGGGAAATCTGCTGTCAAAGATCTCTCCAGAGTGGTAACAAGAAGCGATGTCAGTCAAGAAACTAAGGTGCACCTGATCCAGGCCATGGTCTTCCCAACTGCCTTCTATGCATCTGAGAGCTGGATAATGTGTCAGACAGAATGAAGACAACACAGAATAGGACAGGGTTCAGAGTTGTTGTACATAGGGTCGCTATGGGTCATGGTCAACTCAACAGCACATAACAACTGGTCTGACAGAGATTAGGAGAGCATGCAGGACCATGGCCTCTAGTCACCCTTTCACTTGGAATTGAACTCAGGACTGGTACAGTTTTCAGCCAGCCAGTAGGGTGAGCAATGACAGTACAGAGGTACTCAGTTCCTCAGGACAGTCAGCCACACAAAATTAAAGGACACAGCACCACTGAGGAACAAACAGACAAAGAAAAAAAATCAAGGCACAGGGGACCAAGGCAAAAGCCAAGGCCTCAAGGTGTTTTTTTTTATTTTATTATTTTTGTGTGCGTGTACCGTCAAACCAAATCTGACTGGTACAGGAGGAGATTGCCCCTCCTTCCCCAGCAGAGCATCTGGTGGATTCGAACCGTGCGCCTCTGGGATTGTAGTTGCAGCTTCTTGCCACTAGGCCACCAGAGCTTCCGGCCTCAAGGTTTATTTTTCTCAGCATATATAGAGAATACAAGCATTCCATAACTATCAGAATAACCAGACTTCTTGCCTCACAGCAAACAACTGTCTCAAAGACCCTAAAGTAATATATCTAACAATTATCTCTGGGGCCAGAAAGGACTGTGCCCTCTGATATCTAAGAACCAGAGCTTTTAATGATTTACTCGGAAAATCTTAACAAACACACAAAAAGCTTATCTCTATATTCTGCAAATTCTCAAGGACGGTAGCTTCTAGTTAATCTGTATTTTCCACAAGTTCGCAAAGAGTTTAGTTTCTCCTAATTATGCCTTCACAGATGCTCTTCTGGGTCTTAAGAGGTCTCATAAATGTACCCTGTTTTCTTGGGACATATCTGCACCCTTGTTAGCTGTTTTCAGCTAACTTCCCAGTGAGTGGTCTCGAAGCAGTACTCTAGACTTACACGCCGACAGTCCCCCAAGGCACAGTGGCTTCAGAAACACTCACACTCATCTTTTTTCTCTCAGAGCAGCTAGTGAATTTGAAACTGGTTTGGGGTTTGCAGTGCAGCTCCTTACCTCTAAGTCACCAGGGACCCTGAAATCAGAGTAAGATGATAAGAAAGAAAGATCAAAGATCTATGTAAAATCAACTGGTCAACAGGTATTTCAAAGTATACAAGAGATGGTTGAGGGAAAGAGATCCAATCAACAGGTATGAGACGACTGGGAAATCCTGAAACCCAACTAGGCTGCAGACCTACAGAAACTGGAAGGGAATAAGTTTTGCAAAATTTTTATTATTAACTTTTGACAAATTTTTCTCTTCTTTTAAAGTGATCAAGCACCTATTTTAAAGATGGGGTTTTTGTTTTGTTTTGTTTTTTACTTTTCACACTTAATACCCAAGACCTAAACACATCCTTTGTCTTTGAAAGTTTAAATTTTTCCCCTCCTGACTTCTGAATGGGTAAAGGGGGGGGGGTCATCTTTCTAGACATGTAATCTGCTCTGATTGCAGCCTTGGCTGGGAGGGGAGAATCTAGAAGGAGCTGAAGGTCACTTTCTAACTTTGTGTAGGGGCGACGGTGACACAGTCCAAGGACAGAAGCCTGCCCAACAGGTAAGAACTACCCAAAGACTCAGTTCTGAGACTACCACTCACCTCAGCTCTCTCCCCACCACTCAATACTCCTCTCTCCTCCAGCTCAAGCCCAGCCACTGGGATCCAGGAAGAGAACTTGTGTAAGGAGATGGGGAGAAGCCGCCCTGGGGGGGTGACGGATGGAGGGATCTACAGAATGTCTGTGGGTATGGGGAGAAGGAAGTTGGTTATAAATAGTCCTGCACCTGGGTTATACTTGGCATAAATTGATACTGGGTGTCCCGGCCACATTACAAACCCTCTCTCACCCCAGCCTCCTTCTGTAGGGAGGGAGACAGATGATGAGGGTTCTTGGGGAATCCTGCTGAGAACCAGGGTCCTTTGTTCTGTTCCTGTCAGATGCCGCTGTGAAGGACAAACAGCCTGAGGAAGAAATGGAGCTGGGCAGCCAGGTCAGTCCCCTCTGCTCATGACCATGTCCCCACAACTTTCTTCTCTGGGACCTCAAACCAGTGGACACTGGTCCGCTCTCGGAGCACCTAGCTCTCAGCATCACCAGACGGGGCTCCCACCATTCTTGAAGCCCCTCTTCTCTCTTGGCTCTATAACTCCCTGGTTTCCTCTGCCACAGTCTCTGCTACCTATCCTCATACTGAAGCCCCTCTTCTCTCTTGGCTCTATGACTCCCTGGTTTCCTCTGCCACAGTCTCTGCTACCTATCCTCATACTGTTGAGGGCTGGCTAACAGCCTAAATAAGCACCTTAGAGTGACTCCCGCTTCAAAGCAAGTTTATATGACAGAGCAGGGCCACCCACAGGGTTTCCTAAGCTATTCTATTACAGGACAATCTTCAGGATAATCTATCACCATGACAACAAGAGCCCCTGGGATGATGGTACCGCAGGGAGCAAGGTTCTGATTTGTTTTTAACAGGGTCACAATAAAAGTTCTGTTGACTTGATGGCAGCTAACAACAACAATCTTTACAGAACCCAATCAACACGTACACGTCCTGCACAATGGCCGGTGGGTTTTACTGCTCATCAGTCTTTTGGCAAGCGAGTGCAAACATCTGTGTCACCAAGGTTCATGCTCTGACCATGCAATTTATGTGCTCACAAAGCGGCTGGCACAGTCACTAATGGGACTAGAAACCTCAACACTGGACTTGGGGCAGGGTCAGCGGGCATGCCTTTCAAATTCCCACCAAGGAGTCAGAAGGTCTAACTCTAAGCCTCTATTTTTCTGTTTCTCCCCCATGACCGAGGGACATCCAAGAACGGGTCTTAACTAGACCGGACGTAAAGATCGACCCCATGCAACACAGAACGCTCCTCACCATCCCAGTCAGCTTACTGCAGGGCCCAAATCCAAATCACCAGGGGCAGGACCTGGCGTCTCCCTCTGCCTCTCCCGGTGGACGGCTCCTAATTCCACTCCTGGTGTTCTGAGAGGACCAGACCCACACATCCAACTGCCACCTGACGGTTCTCTGTGCCAAGTGCAGGCATTGCAGCTTCACATCCCTCCTGCCCTTGGTATCTCTAAAACTACATGAACTGAATGAAGGTCAAGCTGCTGTTGTCTGCCATCAAGTCAGAACCGACGAATAAGCTGACTTTTCAGAGGCAGTAAATTACATGGAAGGAGACTGTCCATCCTTCTCCTGTGGAGCGGGCTGGTGGATCTGAACCATGCAACTTTGGGACTGCAGTGCGGTTTCTTACCTCTAGGCCACCAGAGCCTCCCTAAGGTGCTCTGAAGGTCAAGAGTGGAATAAAAAAAAGACTAATCTACTTCTTACTTTCTCCACCAGGACCCTGAAGATGAAGTCTCCCAAGGAAGGACATACGCCCAGATAAACCACCCTTCAGCAAGCGGACGCGTAGCAGCCACCACTTCCTCCACGTGTGAGGAGTTTAAAATCATGAAGGGCCGACAGCAGACCCCCAATCAGGTGAATCTCCTCCCTCCGTTTGTCCAGACTGCCCTGCCCAGGTAGCAACGCTCTATGAGATTGACTGACCCGGTGACTACAATAAACTAAACACATGTATGCTGGAGATCCGGTCCAGATCTGCGGTTCACGGTGCCGCTGTGAGTCCTAGATGACTCCATGGCACCCACAGGTACCAACCACCCTCTCAGGAGCCTTGGTGGGGCAGTGCTTTAAGCCTTGAGCAAATGCTACTTTGTCTTAGAGGGTCATGGAGTCGGAACAAGCTTGACAGCACGGACTAAAGCTCCACCCTAACTTTGTGCTTCTCATTCTTCCTCCTACTCCAGGACACAGCACCTGAAGACCCCCAGGAGGTGACTTACGCCAAGCTGAACCACTCGGCCTCCAGACAAAATGCAACCGCACCTCCTTCCTCCCCATCAGGGGAGACCCCCAGCGAGCCCAGTGTCTATGCAGCTCTGGCTATTCACTAGCCCCAGACCTGAGGAGGGGGCTGTGAAAACTCATGGAAAGAAGCCCAGCCCACCTGGAGACTTGGCGTGGACCCTTTGAGCGTCTGGAATCTTATGGAAGTTGTTTCCAGAGTCCACGCAAAGCACGCAGCAAATCTGCCAGGAGAAGAGAAAATAGATGAATGGGGCCTTCTAAGAATCAAATCTCTATGCACATCTAAAAACTTCTCCAACAGGGTAAAAAGGGAAGCCACAGACTGGGAAGAAGTATCTGGTAATGACATGTCACATAAGGGACTTATATCTAGAATTTATAAAATGCTTGACCACCACAACAAGATAAATAATCCAGTAGAAAAATGAGCACAGGATATGAACAGACACTTCACCCAAGAAGACAATCAGATGGCTAACAAGCACATGAAGAAATGTTCAAAACCCCTAGCTCTAAAAGAGATGAAAATCAAAACAACTATGAGATATCATTTCACCCGTCAGAATAACAAAATTTAACAGAACAGCAAGCAACAAATGCTGGCGAGGTTGTAGGGAAACTGGAAGCCTTATTCACTGTTGGTGGGAGTGTAAAATGGTGCATCCCCTGTGGAAGGCGGTATGGTGCTTTCTCAGAAAGTTGCAAATAGAGATAACATTTGACCCAGCAATTCTACTACTGGGAATATACCCCAAAGAGACCATAACTGACATCCAAGCAGATATACACACACCCATGTTTATTGCAGCTTTGTTCACAATAGCAAGGAGTTGAAAACAACCCAAGTGTCCATCAACAAACGAATGGATGGAGAAGCTGTGGTATATTCACACAATGGAATACTATGCTGCATTGAAAAACAAGGAACTCATGCAATATTATTCAAAATGGGTAACCCTTGGGGAGCTCTGGTGGCCTAGTGGCAAGAAGCTGCACTGCAATCCCAGAGGAACACGGTTCGAATCCACCAGATGCTCTGCCGGAGAAGGAGGCGCAATATCCTACTGTACCAGTCAGATCTGATTTGACAGTACATACACACAAAATAAAAAAAAAAATGGGTAACCCTGGTGGACATTATGCTGAGTGAAGTATCCCAGTCACAAAAGGACAAATATTACATGGTGCCACTGTTGTAAAACAGAACTGACATCGGGGTTGGGGGGAGACTGAGAAGGATGGGTTCAATTATGTACACTGCATTGAAACAGAGGAGGGAAAAAACTGTTTAAAAGAGGTATGTGATTAGGTAATTTTGTCATGACAGGAGTCCAGAGCGAAGGCTGCATCGTAGAGTGGACCTGGGGGAGGGATTGTAAAACAGTGAAAGAATTTTTCTTTTACTTTTCCAAGAGGTGGGTGTACTGAGGGGAGGTTTGGGAGGGGAGAAAAGTGCAACAATGAATGAATGGAAATCCAAAGTCTCTGTAAATCTTCATTGAAATTAATAACTAAAAAATAAAAGAACACTTTGAGAGCTACAGTGAGGAAAGGATGGTGGCAGCCACGTGGGAGACCATGACTGGCGTTCTGAATAGCAGCAGTCTCTGTGGAAAGGAGGAACAGCAAGGCTCGCAGAAATGGAGGTAGAAGAGGAAGTGGTTCAGGGACAGTGCACAGCAGGAGAGAGACCAGAGATGAGGAGGGAGTCCATCCCCGCTGCAGCTGTCACAGAGCCACACGCCGTAAGCTGGAGGTCTACCAGGAGCCAGAGGTGTTCCAACATCTCTTCCCTCCACAATGGTCCCCTTCATAAGCTGGAGGTGTACCAGGAGCCAGAGGTGTTCCAACATCTCTTCCCTCCACAAGCTGGAGGTCTACCAGGGGCCTGAGGTGTTCCACCATCTCCTCTCTCCATAACCTGAAGATCTACCAGGACCCCAAGGTATTCCAACAGCCCCTTTCTCCTTAAGCTGGAGGTCTACAAGGGGTCCAAGGTGTTCCAACATCATCTTCCTCCATAAGCTAGAGGTCTACTAGGGGTCCGAGGTGTTCCAACAGCCCCACCCTCTTGCTCAGGCCACAAAGGCAGCAAGACCAGGGGTAGAACTATGTCTGCTGAAAGGAGGCTACTGAACCTGACACACTCCTGTCCAAGCGTGGACACCCCTTTTCTGTCTCTTCTCCCTCCCTTGATGGTTTTGGTCAACTATGGAGCAGTATCGTGTGCGTGCGAGGGGCCCAAGTCACGTAAACGGTAAAATTAGATGTGAACTCCAACCACAGTGGTGTCAGTGGGCTCCGCTACAGAAAGGAACGCGGGAGACTCACAGGGGGGTCCTACTCCACGTCAGTCCTATGCTCACATGATCTGAATAAGAAGTAGTGGTTTGGAGGGAAAGGGATGGGCGGGGAAACCACCCCACAGGACATGCGACCATCTGAAAGCTCCTGGGAGCCCCTGGAGAGGGACCCAGGAGCAGACGTGGGAGGACTGAGTGGTGCCCAAGACAGGAGAGCACAACTGTGGGAGACTCTGCAGTCACAGCAACAAGAGCGCTGTGTCCCACCTCCTCCCTCTCTACCGGGGTGAGTCCCCATGTCCCACCTCCTCCTTCTCTATGGGGGCGTGTCCTCTGTGTCCCACCTCCTCCTCCCTCTCTGAGGGGGCACATCCTCTGTGTCCCACCTCCTCCCTCTCCACAGGATCGAATCCTCTGTGTCCCACCTCCTCCTCCCTCTCTGAGGGGGCACATCCTCTGAGTCCCACCTCCTCCTCCCTCTCTGAGGGGGCACATCCTCCTTGTCCCACCTCCTCACTCTCCACAGGATCACATCCTCTGTGTCCCACCTCCTCCTCCTCCTCCATGTCCCACCAGCTCCCTCTCCACAGGATTGCATCCTCCTTGTCCCACCTCCTCCTCCCTCTCTGAGGGGGCACATCCTCCGTGTCCCACCTCCTCCCTCTCCACAAGATTGTATCCTCTGTGTCCCACCTCCTCCTCCCTCTCTGAGGGGGCACATCCTCCATGTCCCACCTCCTCCTCCCTCTCTGAGGGGGCACATCCTCCTTGTCCCACCTCCTCCCTCTCCACAGGATCGCGTCCTCAGTGTCCCACCTCCTCCCTCTCCACAGGATTGCATCCTCCGTGTCCCACCTCCTCTCTCTCCACAGGATCGCATCCTCCATGTCCCACCTCCTCCTCCCTCTCTGAGGGGGCACATCCTCCGTGTCCCACCTCCTCCCTCTATGAAGGGGCACGTCCTCCGTGTCCCACGTCCTCCCTCTCTGAGGGGGCACATCCTCCGTGTCCCACCTCCTCTCTCTCCACAGGATCGCATCCTCCGTGTCCCACGTCCTCCCTCTCTGAGGGGGCACATCCTCCGTGTTCCACCTCCTCCCTCTATGAAGGGGCACGTCCTCCGTGTCCCACGTCCTCCCTCTCTGAGGGGGCACATCCTCCATGTCCCACCTCCATCCTCTCCACAGGATCACATCCTGTGTCCCACCTCCTCCTCCCTCTCTGAGGGGGCACATCCTCCGTGTCCCACCTCCTCCCTCTCCACAGGATTGCATCCTCCGTGTCCCACCTCCTCCCTCTCTGAGGGGGCACATCCTCCGTGTCCCACCTCCTCCCTCTCCACAGGATTGCATCCTCCGTGTCCCACCTCCTCCCTCTCCACAGGATTGCATCCTCCATGTCCCACCTCCTCCCTCTCTGAGGGGGCACATCCTCCGTGTCCCACCTCCTCCCTCTCCGAGGGGGCACATCTTCCATGTCCCACCTCCTCCCTCTCCACAGGATCTCATGGTCAGTGTCTCACCTCCCCCCTCTATGAGGGGGCACGTCCTCCGTGTCCCA